AGATGACCGAAAATGACAGGTCAAAATTGCCGACCTCCTGTGACTAGCCATTAGGGTTTCTTCATTCTGATCGAGCCCATCAAGCAAGTTACACCGCATGCAATGCTGTAGATGTTCCCGCGCCCTCAGTGGACAGGTCGGCCCGAGTACGATTTACAGCAAGTGTCGCCGAGCCCTTGGGTGCCCACGCGGCAACGTGCAGAGCTGCGTACAGTTGACTTATCACATAGCGACTCGGATTGTGCCCTCACTCGTGGCTGCAGCTTCAACGGTTGACGACGTCATATTAGAAGGATATGTGGTGTAGCGTTAATATACCAATATGCCGCTCCCAAGGCTGCTCTTGATAGAGCTCACCTCACCGGTCCCGACATGGTATAGGCTCGATACTCACCGGACAAGCCAAGGCTACGAAGAGCCCTGGAGTCTCGTTGCTGTGAAGGAGACCCAAGCCCGGAGTAATAAAGAGGCGGCGGCTAAAGGGATTATAGCTAGCCAAGGACTACTAGTTGGTCAGATATGTAGAGTTGACTACGCTCTACGTGTGTCGAATCAGTACAAAAGTCCCAGCTACAGCTTCATGTTTGATACAACCTGGGCTATTTAGTACATATGTAGCATCGCATGATATTGGAATATCTCCACATGTTTCATCTAGCATATAAGCTGATCTACTCCTCACCCGTATCTAGCAATGCGTATTCGTTCTACTCGCCAGCATATAGTTTGAAGCCTTTGGTATACGTATGTACTGTTGAGGATATCACATCTACCTACAATCCTATAATCGACAAACACTGGGCAGCATCGAACCTATCGTGGTACAGTTGAGAGATAAGAAGCGGCATATATAATAGTCGATGTGATACAACATAAGAAATTCATTTAACACGAAACAAGCCAATCTACACACAAAAAAATAGGCAGCAGATAGGTGCGCGTGTCTACTTACATAGGTATGTAGTAATCTGTACGCATATTTGGTATCAGGCTTTATTTTAAGTCGCTACGCATGGTGATCAACCTGCCGATTTTAATCTATCTTGCAGCACTAAGATAATCAGATTGTGAGTAGACGCGAACTAACGAAACAAGCCTTTAAACGTGCTTTTCTTTTCTGGGGGGGACGGCTGAAAAAGGACAGTGGCAGCGTTCTATGACTCCCTTGCCTGTAGATAATTACGTAGTGGCCTAAGAAAGGAAGGAAAGGACTTTGAACCTTTATAAAGTTGCATCCGGTGATCAGACATAGTAACTACCAAAAAGGGGCTGAAAAGGCATACCTTACCGACCTGGTACTTAGTCGGAGCTGGGGGGTAAATCCTCCTTCGCCCGACAAGGCGTCTCCCCACGATTTCCACGATTTCCAATCCAGGATTTCCTTTACCCCCCCTGCCGTACTCTGATTCTCGAGGCTTATCGTTGGCGGCCTCGATGACGAGGATAGTACCTAGTAACTTTGCCATAAACTACTCCAAACACCCACTGATTGAGAATGCAATCCTTCAAGCCCGACGAAAATTCAGTTGAATGATAAGACAAACCTCGAAGTTGATTACTGTACTAACTCGGGAACTTTGGTGTCTGCCAAGAGCCTCGTGGCCCTACGGGTTCCATCATCGTCAATCCACTTCTTTTCTCCACTTGCGCAATTCTTCGGCTGTCATGCTCGACGTTTCTATTTGGTGGACCATGGATGGATGACACTACATACATACATAGTACACTATGTATTCTCTCGGCTCTACGGAGACCGATCGTCTGTCAACTTTGGATCTTGGAATCCTGGAGTTGTACCCCGTATGTACCGTCTGGTTGGAGCCGCGCTATACAGCACTCAGGCTCGCCAAGGGCCCTAGAGTTTACCAAACTGTCAGACCCCCCTGAGGACCCCCCTGAGCTGTGAAGTTAGACTACATCAACTAAGTGCGTGGGGGCCGGAGGTTTCCGTGCTTCACATTCGCCAACCGAGGGGCCGTTGAAGACAGCTGGGTCGCTTGACAGGCCGCTAGCTGATCGGGTACGAAAACTGCCTCTCGTTGCGCGATATAGTAAGAAAGCTCCGATCTTGAAGCCACTCAGCAAGGTCGACGGCAATATATTGCGGTTTGCAAGAGTGAGCAGTACGTCTGTTGAGACTGTTCGTCGAAGGATTCCGGCAATATTAGACACCTTTGCATGGAATATTGAACTAGACCACGAGAGAGCCTCTAGAGCACATCCCGCATTAGTGGCATGGACAAGGGGGGGTTATCGAGTTCCAGGGTCTGATCCAGGCATACACCCCAAGATACCCTTATCTATTGACTTATGCCGGCCAATCACACCCTCCAAGTCCATCCAAGGTTCACCCCAAACGGTCACCAACATGATTTGCTAAGTACACAAGGTAATCAGGGTCCCTCAAACCCACAAGGACTGGTATGATATACCATGCGTTTGCTATGTGGGCTGCCCTTTTACTACGCGGGTGCTATAGAGGACTATCGGAAAATATACCTTCTAATGTCTATCCGAAGAAGATTGCCTCCAGGCAACTTCTGTGCTGTGCTGACTGACCTATGTAGCACCTGACGGATGTGCCTTTTCGGTCGGGAGTCGCATTCAACTCGTAGATCCTATAAACCACCTGCGCCGCTGTTATGCTGACATTCACTTGACCTCATGCCCTATTAAAATTTGTCGCGATAATTTCTAAACCATATTACATAGTACACACATGCCGCGCTCGAATCGCGTGACTAAACTTACCTTCTAGGGTGGACCTCAGATGTTGTAATGCTACCCTTGCTATGTCGACGGTAGCCATGTGGTGGGATCCATCTCGGATTGAAGCGACTGTCACTCGACAGTTTGTTTGCACACACCTTCTACCCGAGGAGATAAATCGCCTGGATTTGCCGTTGGGCTTTGGTGATGGTTTGACGGACGGGACATACTGGGAATGGATTGATGAAAAGGCGAAACGCATCTTCCTCATCCTGGTAGATCTGGGAGTGCCGGACCAGATCTTTGGGCTTATTGATGACAGTTGGGACGATGACGACCTTCCGATCCCGCTGGACCAAATCGAACGACTAGCGCTTACGCCTACCAGAGATGACAAGTTCGACAGGAGATTCTATTCCCGTCAATTTCATTATTTGCTCAAGTTCGTGGAGAAGGGTGGCCATATGATATACGATGACCCGGAAGTCGTTCCTATTAACGTGGATAAGCGCGCTGGGTTAAATCTCAACAGCACCGTGGACAGAGTCGAATTACCCAACAGACCTGGCGAGTTTCTCTCGCGGCGTCGGATTCCCATCGGAACTGGACCTGGCTTGCTAACGTGTGAGGAATTTCTCCACGAGACCAAAAAGGCGAGCAATGTTGAAAATGTTCATCTCGTGTCCTATTTTGGGTCATATACCCACCAAGGCATGGGCTACGTTCTCTTCACGCTTCCAAGTGACTTCAGCCTCAAGTCGCTCCTAGCAAACATGCCAGGTTCGTTGAAGACATTGGCCAAGCAAGACCGGAGACAACTAATGATGAACTGGATCCATTGCCTCGTCGACACTCTCTGCTATCTTCACAGTCTGGGTCTATCTCACGGCAACATCAGACCGTCGACAGTACTTTTCAACTCCAACAACCATATCTTCTATGCAGACATAACTCGTTTGAGCGCAGAAGCGGTAACCTATACCGCAGACAAATCCACCTTCGATAAGGAGTCGTACGATTATGCGGCTCCCGAACAATGGTATCGGCCAACGACAGGTAGCCATTCTAGCCTACACAGAAAGAGCACACTGATTGGTACTTCTTCAACCTCAGCGTCGTCCGATAACTCGGCATTCTCCATCAGCCGGGGGAGTTCGGAAAGCGGGAATCCGGCATCGTCGCTTCATACGCCAACCCCTTCTCTCAACCCCCAAGCGGCCGACATCTTCTCGTTAGGCTGCGTAATATTGGAAGTGCTAAGTCTTCTGATGAAACGTCAAACTCGGAACTTTGCGTCACATCGAGCGGCGAAGCACAAGCTGGCCGGGCGAGGAGGGGCGGTTTTGGATTCTTCATTCCACAAGAATATTGGGCAGGTGGAATCCTGGATGGCTTCGCTGGCCAAGGACGCGTCGAAGAAGGACGACCAGGTGTTCCGCGGCGTGGCACCGATGTTACAGGTGGTGGCAAGGATGCTCTCGATACTCCCGCACGAACGACCGACGGCCCTGGAGATAGAGCGGTGCACATACAAGGTCCTAACAGAAAACTGCTTGATCACCGAGCCGCACTGCGTTCATCAGTACGGGTGGGACTTTGGACTCGGCAATTTACATATAAACAGAGGGGGAAACAGAGGGGGCGATGGCTTCAACATTGCAACGAGGAGACATAGCGGTTCTACGAGGCCGGGCTCCGCGAGACCGATGTCCCACCGGCCCATGAGCAGCGGCTCTATTCGGGAGGAAGAAATGGCCAGCGCCAGCGGCTTGCAAGGCATGCAGAGCGTCCGGACCGGCAAGGTGCGCACCTGGCAGGCTCGCGTGTACGCAGGTAATGAAGACTGCCTCCCATATAACGACTCGAGGTATAGACAAGACTGACGTTACGGTGTGTTATAGCAGAAGCGGGTTTTGTATGATGATGGCGGTTGAAGCGTGATTTTTTGGATAAAATTTGGAGAGGGCCATCTGTCAGTGGGTACATCAGCTATAGGAGTTTCGGGACTATTCTATTCTATTTTCGACACTATGGGAAAACCTCGCGGCGGTGGCGCTGGTGGCTATACTCTCGTTTTTTGGGACAAGGAGGCGGATAACTCTCTGTTTGATACAATGCATAACTTAGTTATGTATAAACGTGCGGTCGTGGAAGACCGTGGAGCAAACTTCGGTGCTGGACCTTGTGCTCCTACGGACATTTTTGATGGACAATGACTTGTAAAACCATACGCCATCATCGATTTCCAGAACACGACACGCCGTTCGATGAGCTTCGCACACTGTTCGATGAGCTTCATGGCGCAATGGAAGCGCGCCGGGCTCATAACTCGGAGGGTCTCCGATCGAAACGGAGTGAGGCTATCGATATCTATTCTTTTTTTATACCCCTTTCTTTGCTCGTTCGTTTCACTTAGGTACCTTACTCCCTATACCCATTTCATAGCCTAGTTTTCTTGGAGTTATAGTTATACCTAGGTAGGATGGACCTTTTGGTACCGAGGTCTATCATAGCTTATTGATAAGTAAGCCCAAATTGACTAGAAATGGTCATAGAAGATATTCCATCATCAATCGTATTGCTTGCGATATTAGAAAATCAAGTGTCACTGCATTTCAATACAATGTATGTCGGTATATGTCGAAGGTGATAATATAAGCGGAACGGGATTATGCAAGTATACGGGCTAGTTCAGGCAGGTCTGAGTGCGTCAGTAGGTACCCACATTATTACCTAAAGGCAAGGCTGTAGCTGCAGTTACGAACATCGAACATCCGGCAGTCGCTGAGCTCAATTGTATGGGAAGGTACCTTAAACAAATCTAGCCAACTTGAACTTTTAAAGCATCTGCGAATTCTAAATTTTCAATTCTAAACCAATCAACATCATATCTTGACCCGAGATCTTCCATTTCTTCGGAATCACTGTTTACGGCCAATCTCGAACAACGTACCGAACGAATCACAACATGGCTGCGACGAAGCCGTCTGTGAAGGAGGCGCAAACGCTGGCCAAAACCGATCCGCGAAAAGCGGAAGCTATCTACAAAGATCTCATATCCAAACCGCCCTCGGTCACGTCCGATGCCGCTATTAAAGAGTACGAGTCGGCCTTGATAAGCTTGGGAGAGCTGTACCGAGATGAGAAGTGAGCAACGCCACCAGGGTTTTTCCTTTAAATGGCGTCCCGCATCTGACGTTTGTTTTGTTGTATAGGAAGCCGAAGGAGCTCGTCGACCTCGTGACCACCAGCAGAACCGTTCTCTCGGGCTTCGCAAAGGCTAAGACGGCCAAATTGGGTATGCTCCATGTTATGGTTATGACCAACATTTATCTAATCTTGCGTCTACATAGTTCGTCAACTACTCGATCTCTTCGACGCTATCCCCGACACTACCGACATCCAGATCGCCGTCACCAAGTCATGTATAGAATGGGCCACCTCGGAAAGGCGGAGCTTCCTGCGTCAGAACCTCGAGACGAGACTGGTGACTCTATATATGGCCAAGCAATCCTACTACGATGCACTCACCCTCATCAATAGTCTCCTCCGGGAGCTAAAGCGCTTGGACGACAAGTTGGTCTTGGTAGAAGTTCAGCTGCTGGAATCTAGGGTATACCACGCACTGGGCAACAACTCCAAGGCCCGCGCCGCCCTCACCAGCGCGAGAACGAGCGCAGCCTCGGTCTACACGCCGCCCTTACTGCAGGCCAACTTGGATATGCAGTCGGGCATGCTGCACACCATGGACAAGGACTTCAACACGGCCTTCTCGTACTTCATCGAGGCCCTCGACGGCTACCACACCCAGGACGAGCCCGCCAAGGCCACCGCCGCCCTGCAGTACATGCTGCTGTGCAAGATCATGCTGAACCTGGCCGACGACGTCAACAACCTGATGGCGTCCAAGCAGGCCCAGAAGTACGCGGGCCAGAACCTCGAGGCCATGAAGGCCATCGCGCGCGCGCACTCGAACCGCTCGCTCGAGGAGTACGAGCGCGCCCTGGCCAAGTACCGCTACGAGCTCGGCTCCGACGCCTTCATCCGCAACCACCTGCGCCGCCTGTACGATGCCATGCTCGAGCAGAACCTCATCAAGGTCATCGAGCCCTTCAGCCGCGTCGAGATCGCCCACATCGCCAAGATGGTCGGCCTCGACACCCAGCAGGTCGAGCGCAAGCTCTCCCAGATGATCCTCGACAAGGTCATCATCGGCGTCCTCGACCAGGGCGCCGGCTGCCTCATCATCTTCGACGAGACCCAGCGCGACGAGAGCTACGACGCCGCCCTCCAGACCATCGAGAAGCTGGGCAACGTCGTGGACGTGCTGTACTCGAACCAGGCTTCTATGCTGGAGTAGAGTAAAGTACCTAAGTTAGGTAGTTCGTCGTGGAACAGGGGAATTATTCTAGGGCGCTACAGCTTAGATGGGGTGGAGATACTCGACCGTTGTATTATTTATTACTAGGTAGAGTCGATAGGCCAAAGCCCCGGCGTCAATACAGAGGGCACAAGTCACTTTGACACGGATACGTGGACTACTTCTCAGTTCGGTTCGGTTTCAGAAATGTGTAAAATGCATGCATGCAATTAATGTTATTTCGAGACCATTATGGATGTCTAGTAGTTACCATGCTAGCCTGCCACTCCTGGATCAATGATCAATGCAATGCGCGAACCCCCCTTTTAACCTCAACAGTCGTAACCGTACGAATTGCTTCTTCGTAATAGTAGTAATTATTAAAGATGCGTGAACCAACCAACCAACCAACCAACCACCTGAAATCAAGAAAAAGGGGTGGGGTATCTAATCGTATCAATCAAGTAAGCAATCAATCTCAATGCTTCCCGCCCTTCCAATGCTTGCCTGTCTGCTGCCAACAACAACAACCTAACGCCAGCCGTGATGCTATGAATGCAAATAGGTAGGATACCTATATAGGTATACACGTACTGTCCTCCAACAAGCTATTCCACGTTGCTTGTACATTTCTGTCTTTCTTCAAAACCGAGTCAAAGTCAAACTCAAAGTCGAGGGAGTGAACCAATCCATCATCAATACATCCATGGTGTATCCGGAATGTGTCGTGTAGAAGTGGTATGGTAGAGTGGCGGTATCCATCAAGGGTAGGTAGGGAGGGTATCGTCTCCCGACTCCCGCATCCTCCAGCGGAATCAACAGCAGCAGCAGAAGCAAGAGCCAAAGCGGCCCGTCCAATCCTCCCATTTCGTTTCGTTTCCCATCACCAACAGTGATACAGTGATCTGTTGCGTATGCCGTGCGTAGCACTCCCCCCTCAAGCCCCTCCGACCCTCCCCCTCCCCCGATTCCCATTCCCACCCTCTCTCTGCCCCCTCCCCCTCAGCCTGCCCATCCTCCTCTCCTCGCCGACGACCAGCGCGAACAGGCGCTTCGCCAGCGCGCGCTCGTCCCAGGCGCCGACCTCGTGGCGGAACGCGTCGACGACCTCGAGGTGCCAGGGCTCGAGCACGAGGCGCGCGCCCTGCGCCGCCACCTCCTTGCCCAGCAGCCCCGCGTGGATCGTGCGGCGCCGCGAGCGCGGCGGCAGCGCGTGGCGCTGCTGGAAGGCCGGCGGGTCGCGCCGCCGCAGCTGCAGCAGCGCGTCCAGGCGCGCCCAGTGCTGCCGCGTCCAGTTGGTTTGCGAGAGCGCGGGTGTTTGGGCTGGGGCGGCGGCTGGTGCTGGTGCGGGTGCGGGTGCGAGGGCGGGTAAGGGGCGTGGCGGGGGCGGCCGGGTGTTGATGTTGGCGGTGGTGTTCTTGTTCGCCGTGGTGTGTGCGGCGGCAGGAGCGAGGATAGGGGCAGAAGTATTACTAAACCTAGCACCGAGAGCAGACGTGTTCGTCTTGAAAGTAGCAGTGGCCGGCGCGATATTGCGGAGCGGGCGAGTAGGGCCGCGGGCGTACGACGTCGAAGCCGCGGATTCGGTCTCCCTGCTTTCCACAATCGGCTGCAGGAAGGGGCCCTGAGAAACGACGCTGCCGCCTCTAATGCCCGCATTGTGGTTCCCAACACGCGCTCGTCCCTGCGCCTGCGCCTGCGCGGTAGGCGAAAGCCCGCTGCCGGCGAACGCGACGACGCGGCCCGGCGTGGTGGGCTTCAGCGGGGAGCGGAAGCACGACTTGGACGGGGAGAGGGTCCGATCCCAGCGCGACGGCACGTCCCGCGGCGGCAGGCGCTCGTAGTCCGTCCCGTCCGTCATGAGCGACGACTCCTGCTGCTCGGGCTCGTCGCTGGGGAGCTGGAGGAGATCGGTCTCCTCTGCTTCGCTTCGAGGGGCGGATGGGCCGCGCCGGAAGAGAGAGCCGCCGGATTGGCCGGGGCGCGGCGTGAAATCCCGCTTCTGCTCTATGGGCGGGTAGATCTGCCGCTCGGGGGTGGAGGGCTGGTGGGATTGGGTCGTCTCGGGCGATTCAAGCTCTGGCGAATTAGGTTCAGGTAACTCGGGCTCAGGTGACTCGGTTTCAGGAGAATCAGGTTCGGGTGACAGCGACGGAGCGGGAGATTGTTCTTTAGGCTCAGGTGAGGGTTCCGGAGAAGGCGTTTGCACAGGCGAGAGCTCAGACGAGGACGGTTCTCTATCGTAGGTATCCGGCACAGTGTCATTCGACCGCAGAGCGGGCCCAGGGGTGTACACCTCACTTTGCTGTTCGGGACTTGGTTGAGCCTCCTTCTGTGGAATCGAGGGGAATAATCCTGTAGACCAAAGAGACTGCTGCGGTTCTCTGGCCCGTGACATCTCCGGCTCTCTAGGTACCGGCTTATGGAATAAAGGTTGGATAATTTTGTCGGCCTTACGAGTTGCATCCGCTTGTCCGGCTTCAGCTGTATTCTTAGGCAGTGAAGCTGGCGACGAGAAGAATGACATAATATTAAAACCTCTAAAGAGTCGAGACTTGACCGAAGGAGGCTGCTCTGGGTTCGTAGGAGCGTCCGCAGTCCGTTGAGCAAGCATTGAGTATTCGGAAACATCTGCAGGTTTCTCTTGATTTTTATTTGCCGGGGTAGCTCCGTTCTGGTCAACTAGCATCGAGTACTCGGAAAACTCTGCAGGCTTCTCCTGAGCGGCTGGTGATTCTTCTTGGGGCTGCTCATCCATCATCGAGTATTCATCAGCTTCCACCGGCTCCGGTGAGTCGGACCTATCCCGGAATTCTGGTCTAGTCATCGAAGTTTCTCGTTCAGGCTGGTGAGATGAACGCTCGTTATCAACTTCGGGCTCTGGCTGTTTCTCCTGCACCTTGGGCTGAACGTTTGAAGGTCGCCGTCTGGGAGGACGTGCTAGCGGTTGGCTTTCCACCTCATCTGGTTCGCTTTGCAAAGCGTCCTCAATTTCTATTTGAG